AGTAACCTCAGAGAAATTAAAGATTAAATTGCAACCACAAAACTGAATAGGATGCCATTTTAAAATAAAAAGAACCAGAGCAAGCACAGAGAAGCAAAAATTATGTTTGGAAAGAAAACTGGAGGGCTTGAAGATAAAGTCAATACCTTCTCACTGAAAGCAGAAAGTCAAGGAGACAGAAAATATAAGAGAAAAAGGAGGCAATTTAAGAGCCCAGAATCTAACTTATAAGTGTTCAAGAAAGAACAAATACATCAGAAGAAATAATTTGAAAAAACTTTTTAGAACTGAAGTGCGACAGAAATCTTCACATTAAAAAGGCTTACTTAATGCTAGCTAGGCTGAATGAAAGGTCTATATATAAAGCATAATTGCAATATTTCAGAACATTGTGGATAAAGATAAAATTGTAAATGCTTACAAAGAACAAAAATAAAAAATTGCAATAGTCTTTTTGTGAGCAAAGTTGGATGCTAAAAATCAGTTGATTTAAAATTCCACTTGTAAGCCAGGTGCAGTGGTTTGTGCCTGTAATCCCAGCTACTTGAAAGGATGAGAAGGCAGGATCGCTTGAGCCCAAGAGTTCAAGGCTGCGGTGAGCTGTGATCTCACACCTGCACTCCAGCCTGGGTGACAGAGTGAGACCCTGTCCCCAAAACTAGTAATAAAAAATAAAATTCCAAGGGAAAAATGATTTTCAACCTTGTGTTATATGCCCAGCTAAACTACTAAGTATGAAAGTAGTATAAAGATACCTTAATACATTCAAAGATTCAGACAATTTTATTCTCACACATCCTTTCTTAGGCAGTTGCTTGAAAATTGAGCACCAGTAAAACAAGAAAGAAGAAACCCAAGAATCCATTTGTAGTAGATTCAGCCCAGGAAATTAATGAAAGAAAGTTCAAAGGTGACAGTTATAGGACAGGGCTAGGTTGCATTAGGAGGCAGATAGAGGGTTCAAGGAAGGAGGCATCTATGAGGGAAAAATAAATGGGTGAGGTATTTCCATGTATTTGTTTTTACCCTTGAACTATTGCGTGAACTGAAAGAAACAAGGTGGATATTGCTAGAATAAAAGGAAGGCTGCAAAACTTCAGGGGAAGCAACATGCTGCTCGAGAAAGAAAACCACTCCACTTGACTCTGCGTTAAAAATATATTTACCTTCTGTATATCTCTCAAATCAGTCTATTCTCTGTAACTCTACCTCCACCACCACTCTGGAGTTACCATCATTTCTGCTTAGACTTCTACTGGTTTTTTTGCATCTTTTCTGTCTTATCTCAAATCTGTTCTCCATATTACATTCTATACAGTGATGTTTTTCAAAATGCAAATCTGATTATGCCCCCTCTTTGACTAAAACACTTCAGTGGCTTCCCATAGCTCTTCGAATCTAAATCATTAGCATCCCCTAGAAGGTTCTATATGGTTACATGGTCAGCCAGTCCCTAAGCAGCAATGCAGTGGTAGCTGCTATGTAGTCTTGCCTCACTTTTGTAGATTTGGCTGGTAAGGACACCCTGATGGATTGAAACAGTTTTATTACTTACACAGATGGCAAAGCAAGATCAGCATGGTATTAGCTGCTTATATCCCCAATTCCACAGGATGTTGCCAAACTAGAGGGGTCAGATGACAGACAACATACGTGGTGAGTTGCTTTGTTTTTGAGAAGTGAACTCTAGGCTGCAGCTAAGCAGTTTTATCCGAAACGGACAAAGTGGAAAGTTCCATGCCTTAGTGGAATCAGGGAGGCAGATGAGAAACTGCCTCATGGCAAGTCTTCTGCAAGATCGGGAGTTTTCTGCAAGGTATGGAGCAAATGTGAAATGGCCTTTGATAGCTCCTCACAAGACTGCCTATCTTGCCATTTTTAAGGGTGATCCCAGGGCATTCTGCCAACAGTTGAGTCTTACCTACATGGCCTATATGGAGACATGCAATTGCCATGGTGCCATGGTGGAACTGTTCCCCTGCTAACATAGGCTGCCTTTACTACCACTATAGTCTCATCTTATGTACTTTCTCATATTTGCTAGCATCAGTCATACTGACCTTTCAGTTTCTCCAATGTGCCATGCTTTTCCTTGTCATAGAGCTTTAGCATATGCTGTGCCCTCTGCCTGAACCCCACTTTCTCCTCACTCTTTGCCTTCTTAACTTCCCTTCTTTCTTCGATACTCAGCCCAACATTCCTGACCAGAACAGCTCCACCTCTTATCACATAGCATGATGTACCTCTCCTTCACAGCATTCAGAACAATTTTAGTTTTAAATTTATTTGTATAATCTTGAATTGATGTAATAGTAGAGATAGTGGGGATAATACATACATTAATATATTTATCGCTTAATTGTCAAATGTTTTTACATACTTAATTACATTTTATTTTTACATCTCTGTGAGATAAACAGAACAGATATTATTTTAAATCTTTTTTCCTAAATAAGAGCCTATATTAGAGCTCATTTTAAATTCTATTTTAGTGTTCCCTGTACTTCACCACTATGTTTTTCTGTAAATACATTAAATATAATGCAGCATACAGTAAGCAAGAGGCACAGAGAAAATGCCACAGGGGCCGAAAGGAGAGGGAAATCAGATCAGGTGATCACCATAGACCTCCAACACAGAGGTCCCATTTGAGTCAGACTTGAAGTTGGTAGGCATCTGTTGGGCAAGGAAGTGAGGGTCTTCTAAGACAAGAGATAGTATCAAAGCTACAGTTATAGAAATGCATGGGACTATTTGAAGAATGGCAGTTGAATGTGTTTTGATGGATGTAGGGTCCCAGGAAGGGAAGCTGGAGTTGGATCGTGCAGGGCCTTGAAGATGGAATTGATTTTGTTTGCAGTAGGAAGTAACTTACGTTTCTAAGTGGGCAAATTGATCTGATCAGCATTGAACTTTAAGCATTAAATAAGCAAGAATGTGTAGAATAAATTGTAGCATGGAGGATTGGATTCAAAGAAACCAGTTTTGATCTAAGTGAGAGGTAACGGGATCATGACTTGGGACAAAACACCTGAAGCAGTAAGTCATGACACACCTTACAAAGTTTAATGTCAAAGCCTTTCAGTCAGTGCCTAAGAGGAACACACTTGTGTTTGAGGAACGTTAGGTCTATTTAATGTACTGCAGCAAAGGAGAGATCCATAGCAACAGAACTGTGGGTCATCTCAGGGAGCCGGGAGGATTTTCTTCTTATAGGATTTCAGAATCTTATTATAGGATTTCAGTTTGTGCTGGGTGACTCTTGGGAAGGTTTAGGGAAAGCAGAGGTCAGTTCTAGATTGGATGCCCTCAGGAAGTGAGATATTGGGTATTTTGGTACATTTTATTTTGGAAGTGAGAGGATTTAAAAAATAGTAGTCATCTGTGATAGCCAGAAGAGGGGGATGTTTCATTATTTTTTATGGTTCTTGAGGGTTCTTTTCTCTAGTTTCAGAAATACTTACATGGTAGTCTTATCTCTGTCTTCTTCTACTATGGTCACAGAGTGGCCTTATCTGGGTATTTATATTCTCACAATTGTTTGCTCAATTGGAAATACTGTGGTTTAGCTGTCAGCTTCCAGCCGCCAGGTGTTTTCTTTTTACTTCATCAGTACCCAATACATTGATCTGTTCAGCCCCAAGGACCAGCCATTGCCTCCTATGTTGAGCAGCCTCATCCATTTCCCTAGGCTGCATATATGTATATTATCACTGTCTAGATATGCCATGACTTGGAAAAGCTTGATTGAACAATGGTACCGAAAATGAAGAGTAAAGGACCAACAAATGTTGTAAAGGTTTTCAAGCTCTCCACTATCTCCAACATTTCTGGGTCATTTAAAATCTATGCTCCAGCAAAAATAAACTGATTTCACCTCTTACAATCTGTGATTTGCTGCCTTTGGGTATTATGCCCTCCATCTGAAATGTCTTCCTTTGGTCTCATTCTCATGTTCATATTTCTGTCTGTCGTTCAAGGACCAGTTCAAACATCTCTCTCCTTCCCTGTGCTACTAGTGAGAGCTAAGATCAAGAAAAAGCTGATTTAAAATATAATAAATGAAGAATAAATTATATATTTGGATATGTTAATTCTAAGGGGAGTCAAGATGGAAACAATCTCTCTTTTCTGTGAATTCATATAGCAAATTTATTAGATCCCTGAAGTATTTATTTCTAATATTTATTAAATATGTATTACATCCTGTTCGCTAACTTCTATGAGCAGTACCATCAAAATGCCATGACGTTTTCTTCTTTCCAGGTTATTCAGGGTTAGTACAAAGCAGCAGAAGTGTTTTTAAACTCCACCCTCATTCTTACCTCATTTAGTATATAAGTTACTGATATGTGGCCATATTTGGCCCTATTTTATATATATATAATATATGTTGTATATATACACACACATATAAAATATATACCATGGAGGTTGAGAGTATTAAATTATATATATAGTATTAGATTATATAGGCATATATATAGACTATATGGACATATATATATAGACACACACATCTATATATGTAGACACACACACAGACACATATATATATATACACACACACACACACACACACACCAGGGAGGTCGAGAGAAGCTTGTAGGTGGCTCGATGTTTCTTGTTGGGACTAATAGTGGGGCAGGGACTAACTTATCGAAAATATGTTTTAAAAATTACCAGGCGGTGGTAAGTGCATGTAGTCCCAGTTACTTGGAAGGCTGAAACAGGAGGATCTCTTGAGCCCAGGAGATTGAGGCTGTAGTACTAATTATGGTGCCTGTGAATAGCCACGGCACTCCAGCCTAGGCAACATAGCAAGACCCCATCTCTTTATTAAAAAAGAAATTACGTGGATTACAAAAACCTTAAGGAAATATACAAATGAATATTTTTGTATTGTCTGAAAGGAAGGAAACTAGATAAAAATTAATTATATTAAATTAACAATAATAAATGCAGTGACAAATAGGTTTGTGTTTCCTATATTAATTTAGGAATGACTGCCAGCAAAAAACTTGGGAACCGAGAATGCAATCATCCTTGTAAAAGTAAACATACATGTGGACATGACTGCTGTGAGTTCCTTAAAACAAGTTTATTTCAAGTGTTCAAAATTGAAAGGTTTTTGGTGGATAGTAATGATATCCTAATTATCTGTGTATGATATTTATAGTATGCAATGTAATAACTCAGTTTTCTCTCTTTTGTGGGCAGTATGAAAAAAGTAAATACTAGATTTGAAATTTTAAAGAAATTTGACTTTATAAGAATAAGATCTGAAGTTTAACCTAAAGAATCTGAAGTTTCTTTTCATAGGTAAAATTGGAGTTACACAGAAGTCAGAAATTAAAGAGTCAACAATTTCTTCATATTTATCTGATTTAAGAAACAGGAATGCTGTTTCATCTGTTCCTCCGGTTAAACGTCTGAAGGTTAATTTTAATAATATTTTCCCCTTTGTTCTGTAATTAAATGTATATAAATATTCTTTATTCTGTCTATCAATTAGGTAGGTATCCACAGTGTACTTTAGAATTACTTGTGGGCTTGACTAAGAATATTACCATTATTCATAGTCCTTCTTCTCTTCTTTCTTCCTTCCTTTTTTTCTAAATCTTTCTTCTTTCCTTTCATCTTCATTGAGCACCAAGAATATGCCAAAGTGCTAAGATATAGTGATGAATAAGACAGTATTATTCTGAATCATAGAATTTGTAGTTGAGTGAGGAATACAAATAAGTCAATATGCTTTTTTAGTGTAGTGTGATGAGTGATTCTGTGACAGAAGTACAACACACTTAAGTTTAGATAGAAAATGTACTCAATCAACATTTGATGGACCAAGAAAGGATTCCTAATAGATGTGATTGAGACCTGAAGGATAAGCCAAGGATGGAGGGGCAGGCACCAGAATTATAGTAGGAAGGGACAGCTAAATATTCCAGGAATAAAGATTATACAAAGGTCCAGAGATAGTAAAGAGAGAGAGAGAGAGAGATCTTTAAAGAAACTCTTTCTCAGTAACACAGTATGTCTAGAGTTCAATTACAAGTAAAGGAATAGAGAGAGATGAGGCTGAAGAGGCAAGTAGGAGCTAGATCATGCAGACCTTTTTGCTATTTTAAGGAATTAGACTTTATCATGAAAGTACTGAGAAGCCAATGAAAGATTTTAACAGTGACATGATCAAAATTGTATTTTATAAAGGTCACTCTGACTGCAATGTAGAAAAGGGATTAAAGGATGATAGAATAGGAACAAAGGGACTCATTAGGTGGTTTTTACAATAATCTAAGCAAAATAATGGCCTAGTTTAGGGTAGTGGCAATAGCAATGGAGAGAAGTGACTAGGTAAAATTATTTTTCAGGGGTAGAATCGCTACCTTGCTACTTCATTGGTTATAAGAGACAAAGTAGAAGGAGCAGTCAAAAATGATGCCCAGCTTTCCGACATTAGCAACTGGGAGAAAAGTAGGGCCTCGTTTGGGTAGATATTCTGAAGGAAAAGCAAGTTTGCTGGAATAGGGAACAGGATAAGTTCAACTTGGGAAATACTGAATTTAGAGGGCCTGCAAGATATCTAGATAAAGATGTCCTACAGACAGTTGGATATAACTGTTTGAAAATCGGGAGAGAGAGCTGAGCTAGAAGTAGAAATTTGAGAGTCATTCACATGTAGATGACAATTGAAGCCACAGGAATAAATGAGATCTTTGATTGAGAAAGTGTAGTGTAAGAAGAGACCTAGTGAAGAACCATGAAGAATGCCAACATTTAGGCCGGACGTAGTGGCTCACGCCTGTAATCCCAGCACTTTGGGAGGCCGAGGCGGGTGGATCACAAGGTCAGAAGTTCCAGACCAGCCTGGCCAACATAGTGAAACCCCGTCTCTACTAAAAATACAAAAATTAGCCAGGCGTGGTGGCAGGCGCCTGTAATCCCAGCTACTCAGGAGGCTGAGGCAGAGAACTGGTTAAACCCGGGAGGCAGAGGTTGCAGTGAGCTGAGATTACACCACTGCAGTCCGGCCTAGGTGAAAGAATAAAACTCCATCTCAAAAAAAAAAAAAAAGCCAACATTTAAGAAGGACCTGAGTGAAATATTCAAGTCAAGAACTAACCTGAGTTTCTCCTAATTCATTGATTTGGGGACTTTATGTACCAGCAGTTTTGTTGTTTGGCTCATTTGTTAAAGTTACTGATGTGAAACTGCTAGTTGAACTTATTTTTGTTTCTTTAATAGACACAGATGAATAAATCTCAAAGTGTGGACCTTAAAGAGTTTGGTTTTACTCCAAAACCTTCCCTTCCTAGTATATCAAGGTATAAATATAATGTTAGTATCTAAGGTAAAATATTTATCATAAACTCTGTTCCTGCAGGTAACCACTTATTCAGGGAAAGATAATCACTGGCTACCATCAAGTCACAGTTATCGTTTAGTTCCATAATGAAGCAATAACATCATAATGGTTTCATTATCTTTGATACCCCAAATTTATTTAGAACTCTACAGTTATGAAATAACACTCATGAAATCATCTCTTCCCTAGGAAACTACCTCTCCTATGACGTTCCCTTAGATTCTTTCTTTATAGGGAATATAAACTAAGTGACAAGAGTATACTTTAAAAATGGAAATCATGTTGGCATACAAAGTCTAACCTTTCCATTTAGAAGCTCAGTCCATGCTAATAATATCTCAGATTTATAATATGAAAATTACACATTTGTGCATTATATTTTCTGACTTAAACAACAACATGGCCCATAAAATGAGGTATTTTTTTCCCCATTGTTTAGATGGAAAAACTGAAGTTCATATTCCTAGTTAGCAAGCAGAAGGCCTTAGGTGGTAACTCAGTATTCTTTTCCTATATCCTGATGCCTACAGGACAATCATATATTTAATTTCCCTTCCAGATAAGGGCATTTTATATGCAGAAATGACATTTAACAACTAGTACAGAACAGGAACTGACTCATCAGAACAGATGCCAGCAGTACTTCTAGAGATCGTGGCTTTTGTTATCTAACTAAGGGCATGTAAAGATCACTAAGTATTGGTCACTTCCATTAAACACCTATTTATTTGCCACCCAGGCAGGGTCCAGTTTATCATAGAAGTATTAAATGGATAAATCATTATTTTTATTTATATGAATAAATAGTTTTCAGGCTTAGATTTTCATTTTTTAACATTTTTATTGTTTTATCTTTATAAAGGTCAGAATATTTAAACATATCTGAATTACCTATAATGGAGCAGTGGGATCAGCCTGAAATCTATGGAAAAGTTAGACAAGAACCATCTGAATATCAAGACAAAGGTAGATTACCATTGATACTTACTTGAGAGAGTAAATGGCTTATTACTACTTTGAATTGACAAGTAGTGTTATTGAAACACCAGTATCTGAAATTAATATAATTATTAACTTGGCAACATTTTTCTCTTAGATTACTGAATCATTTTCAAATTCTTGGGTCTGTTATTCAAATGGTCTTACTCTGTTTGTCATACATTTTTTAAAAATCTCTTTCCTACATAATGCTATTTTAATTTAAAGATACTATGAAGAAAATCTGAGCAAATAAGGTATCCTTGGGTATATGAAGTATTAACATACTGAATGATTATGTTCATATCATTAGAATTATTTAAAATAATTGTATGTTTATAAAACTAGGAGAATCAGAGTATTTATCCAACTTACTCAAAGCCTGGATATCATTACAAAGTGGATAGGAACTATAAAATTTTATGTTTATAAAACTAGTCCAGTTTTACAAAATATCAGTGTGACCTTGGGTAAGTTATTTAATCTCTTTGGGCTTTAGTCTTATCTTTAAGATGAAGGTATTGAACCGGGTGACCTTTAATATCTCTCCAGTTCTTAAAACTATGATTCTTACAGTTCTATGTTAGTATGAGAATATAACTTAGGTTGTGGCATGTAGCTAGTTTGTAATCTAGATTTGCTTTTTTATTTGTGTCTGTCATTAAATTAATGAGATAATGCATATAAATTTGACACTGCCTGGTTCATCATTACTCTGGTTCCTGCAATTAATAGAGCATAATTTCCCTGAATAATGCTATTAATAGCCAGTCTGTTAAAACATGAGATAGTCCTATCCATTGAGTTATTTCTTCAAGTGGCTCTATGTAGAAATAGTAAGCTTGGGGTTTTCTGAAAATCATTTCATGTGTTTGGCATTGGTTTCTGTTGACATTCTTTTCTTCATGCTGCCATTTTTTTTTTTCATGTTGTAACTTTTTTTCGTCTAGTCATAATTTAAGATTTTACAGAGGCAGAGGCTGGAGTATTCACTGCCTCTTATGATACCATGGCAGCTATTAGGCCCAACAATGATATCAAGAAAAGTTCCCTAATCTCACCTGGAGAATCAGAGCATTTATCCAACTTATTCAAAGCCTGGATATCATTACAAAGTGGATAGGAAGTATAAAATTGTCAACTTTCTTATATTTATCTTCGTTCAACACGTAGCCCTCTAACTTACTGCTTCCTTATCCTACTACTCTATTACTTGTCCTTCTGCACACAAGAGCTTATCTATGCTTCCCTCTGCTTACTTTTGTGTTCTATTTACATGGTTTTCCTCCTTTTCTTTCCCACTCACTATTCCAAATCCAATTTATAGTATGATATTAAAGCCTCATCTAGATACTTTAACCCCCAATAATAACTGTATCCCTGTTTTATTGAGTGGGCTACTTTTTTTTTTTTTTTTTTTTAAAAGAGGAGCTGTATGGTGTAGTAGTTAAGTTCACAGGATCTGAAAACAATCTGTCCAAGTCCTAGCTCTGACATTTGGTGTAACCTGTCATAATCTACTTAATCACTTTGTCTAAATTCCTCACCTGGTTATATTTTAGGGCTTTCGGGATTAAATGGGATAATGCATGAAAAGCTGTTATAGTTTCTGGTACTGTTAGTAATAATTAATTGAGTATGTTTATTATATTTTTCACATATTAGTCTTTGGTGGCAAAACATACTTTAAATATATTCAAATACTGCTTTTGAGAATGTTTTTTAAAAAGCATAGCAGTTTTTATCTTCTGTATTCCAATTTCAAAAAGGGAAGAAGAAAAAATGTCAAAAATTATATGAGAAAGCATGTTGAATTATAAGACTTAAATTGGAAGGGACCTTTGTGCAGTTTCTCATTTTATAGTGAAAGAAGCCAAGACTCCAAGAGATTAAATGACTTGCCCCAAAATTTCATATCTAATTAATGGAAAGACCAGAAATAGATTCCATGTCTTTTGAATCCCAGCCCAATGCCATTTCTATAAAATGAAATTGACTTTTAGTTATCAGTGGAGAATTGAAAATTGAACCGTAGTATATGAACTCTTTCAGCTTTTCGCCCCACCCCTCAACTATATATTTCCCTGTCTCTGCATCCATCTGTAACCATCTATTTGTCTTAAAAGAAAAATTATCTTTTCTTCCACTCGAGGCATATCTCTCCTCCTGTAATCTTAATTCTATCTAATCCTGCTTTCCCTGGGACTTTAGAAGATCATTATCCATCTCCTCTTTCCCATATTTTCATTGTTTCCTCTCCACTGTGTCTTTCCCTTTAGCATATAAATATGCTGAAGTCTCTTCCTTCTTCAGCTTCATGTCCTCATCTAGCTGGTCGTGACTTTTTTTATTATAAATGATAACAATTCTACTCAAAATGACTTAAGCACAAGAAAAGGAACCAATTGTCTCAAGTAAACTGAAAAGTATCTGGCCTAATTCTGGCTAAATCAAGGCACTCATGCCTCTGGCTTTCTCTCAATCTTTTAGCTATGCCTGTTGCTACTTGGCTTTACTTTTTAAATAGGGTTTCTCACATGACAGGTAGCCCCTAACTTACATCTTACCAGTTTAGCAGCCTCAGTGGAAAAAAGTGGACTTCCCTGTTAGGTTTGGCAGACCAGAACTCATTCTAACTGGCCTCATTTGAGTCATGTGTTTATCCCTTGATCAATCCCAGTAACCTGAGGATTGGGTCATTGTATACCTGTGGCCCCAGAGAAGGCAGGGCATCATGAAAAATGGCCTTACTAGGATCCAGTGGAATTGTAGAAGTAGTTTCTTCAAAGGAAAGGGAGGGTACTCCCACTAAAAGAAGGGAAAGCATACCAGGCAGACAAAAACCAGAATTCTAGAGTCCCTGTACCCTCTATCTCTTGCTTTGTCATCAAAACAAAAATTAATTGAAAGAGCAATTGACACTCAGTATGCTCATCACTTCCTTATACCCTAGTTCCTCTTTATTCATTAAAATTTGGGTTTTCTCTGTATCACTCCTTTGAAACTGTTTTTGTTCAGGCCATTTAGTGACTTTCTGAGTTCTGAATTCAGTGAACTGTTTTCAACTGTTAACTCTCTTTGACCTCTGCAGTATTTGATACTTCTGGTCTTTCCTTTCTTTTGGAAATCTCTCCTTTGATTTCGATTAAACCATTATATTGGTCTCCTGTTACTTCTTAGACTGCATGGGCTTTTCTTCCTGTTGATGTTGCAAAAGGATTCTTTTTTCTTTTTTTTTTCTTTTTATTCTTCTCCCTTCAAAAACTTTTCCTATACAATATCACCCAAGCCTGTGTCTTTAATCACTGACTATGTTTTGATAATTTCTAAGTCTGTGTCTCCCATCTATGTCTTTCTTTCTAACTCCAAATCCATCTGTATAATCACCTTCCTGGACATATCCACCTAACAGTTAACATATCAGACATGTCAGCATCTGAACTCTGTCTTCTTTGTACCTCACTCTGCACCTTCTCTTTTTTCCTTAGCTCAGTGAATGAACTCTTTTCTTCGTTAAGCTGCTACAGGCAGAATGTCCTTCTAAATAGCTCACCCCACATGTAAATAACCACCAAATCTTAATTATTTTGCCTCCTGCACATCTCTCATATTTGTTATTTCCTCTCTATCCTTTCTGCTGATACTCTAGCTTAAGCATTCATTGTCTCTTATTTAATACAATAACTTACTTTTCTCTCTGCTTTCAGTCTTATTATCCTTCAATCCATAATATTCCAGGTGATCTAACAGACATATCTGGTTGTGTAAACCTTCTGTTGAAACATCTTCAATAGTTATCCTTTGCCAGTAAGAAAGAAAAACAAAACAAAAATCTCCTCAATATGGCAAATAAGCTTCAACATGATCTAGCATTTAACTACCTGTGCAGACACAGTGGACCCTGCCTTCTCCTACTTTGTGCTCCAGAAATCCTGAAAACTTACAGTTCTCCCAAAATTCTCGGTTCTCTCATATTGCTGTGTCTTTTACCTGGTGTTTTCCCTTCATGGCATAGGTTCCCTTTCCTCTTGCCCTGCCTCACAACCGCAGCTCTATCAAGCTGAAATTTCAACTACTCTTCCTTCATATGCTATCACCTCAGGAGTCTGTCTGTCATGTGGTATCACCTTAGAAGAGTATGTCTCACTTCCATTGCAGGTTTAGATCCTCCTTCCTCTGCATTCCCATTGCACTCTGTACAAACTTCCATTTTTAGTACATATATACATTGTGTGTCTCAGTGTGTGCAAATCAACATACAAAAGTAGAATAATATAAACTGTAGTTATAGGTACAGTTGAAGAATAAAGAAGGGTTTGGACAGGTGAAGAAATTGATGGAGGATATTTAAAGTGGAGGAAACTCAGTGATATGCTGGAGCAAGTTTATACTGACTTATGAGAGGTGATTATTAAATTTTCAAGAATCAGCCATTATTAAAAATTTAATTACATAAACTTTCAATTAAATTATGTTAAAAACAAAGGCAAAAATACTCAAAACTCATCACTTTCTAATTGTTCTACTGCATTTTACTGTTATCTGTTTTCTTGAGGTTATTTATCTATATGGTAGAAATACTATATAATAGGGTGCTGTTGTGCATTTTTTCCCAATTTCTTATTCAATTATGTTACGTTAATAGCTTGAAATGAGTTATGGTGGGAACATTTATACCATAGGAATCAGCAAACACTACCAATCTGGGTTCGATTTATTGTTTTGCTTATTTTTTAGACTTCAGAAAGTGAGGGATACAATTTTAATAGTGTAGATTAAACAAACGTGTGTTGTTATTGTAGCCATTACATTGTGAATAACACAAAAAATTGAGAGAATATTCTTCTAGTATTTGAAAATTACTGTCTAATTCAGGAAAGAAGTTACTTAAGTCAATGGTGAATGAGTTAAATCCCAACAGATGTCTTTGTTGTTTTATGAATACTTTCATCTTACTTGTTAGAGTCAACAAAAATATCAAACAACATTCACATGAGAGCTACATTCATTCATCACTTGCAACCATAGGTTGACTACAGATAAAAGAGTGGCAAAACTTAATGAAAACATTCAATGAGAATCAATTAGATATATGGAATTTGCATTTAAGCATATCATATATGTTGTTGTTATTGTAAAGTGTGTGCTGTATAGCTTTTACATCAGTAAAGTTTATAATAAACATATATGTATACATATTCATATGCTTTTTGTAGAGGTAGCTGTTAAACATTTATTAGCACAATACTGTGTAAAACCATGCAACTAAAGGCATTTAGCCCCCCATTACAAGTTTTTGAGGTAGATACTGTTGTTGCCTTATTTTGCAGAATCAGGAAGTTTGAATTACTGTCTAAGACCATACAACTAATAGACAGGTGGAATTTTCACTTAGGTAGTTTGGCTCTAAATCCAGGCTGTAAACAATGAATAACAGGATTTTTTAGCAGGAGAAAAATAAATATTATTTATTTTGGACAAATATCTTTTATAACAATACCGAAAATTAACTTTAGGGAGAAGATATGGAAGAGGAAGACCATTTTAGAAACTATTATAATCCAATCTTGGAGTAGAGTTATTCTAATATGGGAATTAAGAGGAAAAATTAATTGCCTAAAAAATTTATTGAAACTTAAATTTAGTGCAACTTAATACAGTTAATAGAATTGGCTGAATGCAGTATTCAACAATGCTTGACACAATGCTTTTGAAAACTATTACTCAAGAACTCTGTTTAGTAGTTGAAAGATGTGTTTGATATATCAATAGACTACGATGCTTGTGGTTTAAAAAGTACCTATAGTCTTTTATACATACACATAACAGATTTTTCTAGATATAACTATTCTACAACTTCAAATGAGAAAGTCTCTCAAACAGTGTTCTTCAACAGAAGTCTCAATATATCTGGAAACCAAAATTTGACAGATGCAGATAAAAGCAATTCTCTATTTTCAGAAGTTTTGAATGTGAACTTTGAATTGGGAAATGAAGTTCGGGATGATTTTGATGAGGAAAACTTAGAAGTTACTAGCTTTTCAACTGATACTGAGAAGACAAAAATATCAGGTAAAATCATACTTAGCATGGAATCATTTCATTAGAAATTCTTTGAATATTTTTCATTTCAGCTCCTGGAACTAGGTTTCTTTGCCTTTGTTGTGTGTGCTTGTTTAGTTAGATTTGGTTTGTTAAGATTGTAATTTTTAGCAAAACTGAAAATGTGACCCTTCTACATAGAACATTTCCCCCCTAAGGGAAGAGATGAAGGTTATTCCATGATGATAATGTAGCAAATGAGCACTTTCTATTCTATTGCTCCTATCTCTTGTAAAAGTCAATTCAAATTGTTTATTCAATTTTCTCTCATGGAACAGACTATTTTGCTCTCCCTTGTAAGATCGCAAATGGTCTGCTAATATTTGTGAAGGACAAAAAAAAATCCATTTTTAAAGCTATTCATCTGTTTGCAAAGAAAATAACTTTTATTTCTAGTTGAAATATGGACTTTTCAGCTTGAAGTAAATAAATAAGTAAATAGGAAAGAAAGGATTAGTTTGTCCTATACTAGAAATTCTATTTAAATCATATACAACCCCAAAATAATGAGGCTTATTACCTCTTTGAGTGAAAGGCAAATTTACTGTATGTCACTAAAACAGAGAATTGGAAATCTTGGCAAGCATATGACAAGATAGCAATGGAGATACTGTCTCCCATTAGGGCTGACAGAAAGAAATCAGTCCCTCAGCCTTCTCAGTGCAGACTGGTATTCCTACAATTATAGATGCCTCTTACTATAACCCACCTCATGTTTTTAAAAGAATATTTCAAAGGGAAGCAGTTAGAAGTTGAAATGTTATTGTTTCGGGGGCCTTAGAACTACCTAGAGAACTAATACTGCTTCTGAAAAGAACAGGATTTGACCACCTTCACAGAATGGGCCAGGACAATCTCCATGATGTGGGGTCATTAGGCACAATTTTGTATATCACTGGACAACTATTGTTCCCTACCTCGAGTTTAAATATCATTGGGTACTGTAAGTTAATAGGCAATGTGTACTGATCCTTCGAGGTTGCCTAGTCCTAAGAGGGCATAGCTTTGTCACTGGGAAAATCAGTCTCAATACATTTCCCCCCATGTATAGAGCATTTTAAATGATTATGAGCAGACCATTGAAAATACTGAGTGAACTTCAACTTGATCATTTATGTGAATGAAAATGTAAGTATATAAATAATGAGGGTGAGTGGAAAAGCACAAACTGTTTTTCCTCACTCTCACACCATGATCAGCCTAGAAGACGTCTGTGACCAAATGTCTGTGGGTTTTTTCCCCATACACCAAGCAAGCAATTAGTTCCTCAGTGAATACCAGCTGGGTGTCTTCCAACCCAGTAGAGTTAGAAACAGGGGCCAAAGACCAAATATGTATTTTACAACAACATAGGTGGCTTGAGGACCTTATAATATAATTACTAATAAGCTAACCTACATGTTTTTTAGTTTTACTCCCTTAGCTTTGTGCCCCTAATTTTTCTATGCAAATTAAATTAGGTGATTGAGAATTATTCATTCCTTCCTTAACCAGATCATATCTGTTGGAGAGAGCATTGTAGAACTTGTGAAAAGCTTCATTCAGCTGTTTCTTGGCATTTTGTTTCAAAATGTTATCTCTTCACATAGGATTTGGAAACACTTTGAGTTCAAGTACCAGGGGAAGTAAGCTACCCCTTCAGGAGTCAAAGAGCAAATTCCAAAGAGAAATGTCAAACAGGCAAGTTTTAGAACTTTGGTTTGTAATACATACAACTTTATATCCTCTTGACACATAGTTGGAGATGGGGATCAAAGTATTAAATGTCAGAGATGCTAAAAGGTATTAGCCAGCCTAAACCCTCTTAATCTTAGAGGTATGTTTCTCAAAGTGCTGTTGTTAAACCACCTGCATCAAAATCACTTTGTGGTGCATATTAAAAATGCACATTCTTGAGCCCCACATTAGACCTACTAAATTTTTGTCTCTGGGACTAGAGCCCAGGAACCTTCACTTTTAACAAGACTTGAAAACTGAATAGGAGTTTGACAACTAGAACAGAGGCGGATAGGCATTCCAGGTATAGGAAAGCATCTGTAAAGGGATAAGGCTTGAAAAGGCATCCCATGCTCAAAGATCAGTAAAGTGTGGGATGTGTGGTCACAGCATAAAGTCTGTTGCTGAGGTCTTATCGTAAGGGCTTTGAGTGCTGTGCTTAGACACCTGTCCTGTACCCAGACAGTCAGGGGTTGCAAACCCAACTGCCTTCAAGATTTGGTGGGCCAAGGCCAACTGTAGAGTGTCTCATCTAAAGGAAGCAGCCACTACTCAGCTCCAAACAGTTGTTACTATGCAGGCAATGTGAGTCTAGTGTTATAAAATATTCTGATTTTTCAAGAAAAGCTAGGAATCTGAAATTTTTTGTGATATTTTATTATTTTTAAATTTTGACAACTAATTTAAAAAAATGTGATAAACTCTGCGGCACCCTCCTCCAAATAATAATATCTGCAGGCCAGATGTGTCCTAGGGCCCTCTAGTTTTTACCTGTATGGTAGGCAGTGAGGAACCATCCAAAATATTTAAGCACAGGAAAAACAATTTGATTTAAAAAATCATCCTAGCAGCAGTATGCGGAGTGAATCGTAGGGCATGGGACTGCCAGAGGCATGGTGGCCAATGAGAAAGACAGACTATAATGAGGCCTAAACTAGGGCAGAAGTGATAGGAACAGAGAGGTAGGGTTGGATTTTTAAAACATTTCAGAAATACAGCAGATTCAATGCGGCAATTGATAGGATATGATAGTTGAGGAAGACGGAAGAATAATGGCACCTAGGTAGATGTTATTTAAGGGTATAGGAAATATAAGAGATTTAGAATAGAAAATATAATTTTATAAATATTCAATTTGAAGTATCTTTAAAAAAATGCAAAATGCATTGGGAAATATTGGACTTGATTAGAAGTCAAGGGAGAGAAATAATGGCCAAAGCCAAAATTTTCAAAACAGAAGAAATACCAACAGCTTTTTATTCAGGGTCTGATTTTCTACTTAAGGATTATTTATTTCTCTGCTTTAAAAAAAATACTAAATTTGTGGTATCCATTGGAATTTTTGCTGTTATTTAGCCATTACTGATCATTAGCATCAGCATCATAGACTCATAGTTTTCATAGAATTCCAGAGCTAAGGAGGGGTCTTAAGTATTGGGTAGCCTCCCTCTCACTGGATCCTTGAATCACCATTCAATATCACTGGCAAGTAGTCGTGCCACCTCTACCAAGACAGTTTTAGTGACCAGGAGCTCATCCGCCCTTGTTCCATGTTAGGATTCTTAGATCATTGAATAGCTTTTCAAAACATTTGCTTAAAATACGTCTTTTTATCACTTTGTTTCATTGGTTATAACTCTGAGTCACATAGAATAAACAGATGTAAGCATCCAAGTGAGACAAAGTTGTAGGTGTAGAGAAGCAAAAAGTAGATAAATCATAAGGAGAAAGGTAACAAGGCACATGAACAGTTTTGTGCACCACACCTTTAAAAAACAGCAAATAATTTTGGAAGAGTTTAGAAGTGACCAACAGAAGATGTGTGGGTTTAAAAATGGATTCTAACAAGAAGCCTCTGGGGATCTGGTGTAGAAGTTGCTGCTGGGGAAAGGCCTGTGGGACCTGAGGATTTGGGATGGAAAGGAGATTTGCTTTTTTATTTTTTTAAGTTAGAGTACAATGGCATAATTATGGCTCACTGCAGCCTCAACCTCTTGGGCTGAAGATCCTCCCACCTCAGCCTCCCAAGTAGCTGGGACTACAGGTACATACACACCACTATGCCTGGCTAATTAAAAAAAAAAATTTTTTTTCTAGAGATCGGGGTCTTGCCATGTTGACTAAGCTGGTCTCAAACTCCTGGACTCAAGCTGTCCTCACACCTCAACCTCCCAAAATGCTGGGATTACAGGTGTGAGCCAGTGTGCCTGGCCTCCTTTTTCTTTTATACACTTTTTACTGTTTTAATTCCTTGCCGTGTATATATATTTATTAGTCAGAGACAAAATGATCCAGTCCTATCAGTATATGTGGTTCTTCCCTGTCCCCACCCACACTGCTCGTTGCTCCTTACATGGTTGTTACATTTTAGCCTTCAGGTGTCAACTTAAATGGTTACCTCATCAGAGAGGCATTGATGATCATCTTTTAAAAATGGGTTTATGGCTCCACACCGTTATTTCTTATGCTATTACCCAGTTCATTTTCTTTTTATAATTTTAGGATCTATAATAATCTATATATTTGTTTTTATTCATTGTCTGCTTGATGGTAACTCCCTGACGTTTTCTTTATTACTTCATACTCAGCTTCTAGTACAATATCTGGCATAGGGTAATGAAGAATAAATGTGTTTTAGTGAACGAGTTAATACAGAAGGTTCAGAGTAAATTCTTGCATACAGTTATATCTAAGAAGATAACTAGAGATGTCTATCTACAGTGAGACCAGAATAGAGAAAGGAGATTAAAAGTTAAGCAAGTGGAATTTAGAAAATGTTTATAGGGTTCTATGTAATAGACAATTAAGCATTAGACTCAATTTTAAAGAAAATTGTTGAATAATTATTTCTATACTCCCTTAAAAATAGTGTTTTTTCCTAATTTGGGATGTATAAATTATGGTTTGGTCTAAAGGAAAGGAAATATACCAAGTTCTCCATGAGTATTAGAAACAATTCATTACATTTTTGTGATAAATGTGATAAACTTTGATCATATTCCCCAAAAATCATTATGAACCAAATTAGAATGATGTGTTTTTCTTGTTTGCCATATTTTACAAATAATTAATTTTAATTTTTAGTTTTTTTTCATCACATGAGATGTCAGATATTTCTTTATCAAATTCTGCTATGCCCAAGTTCAGTGCATCCTCCATGACAAAATTACCTCAACAAGCCGGAAATGCAGTTCTTGTAAGAAGAAGCACTTCTTTGTTTTTCTTTTAAATTTTGCCCAAGTGCTTAAACTTTCAATGATTGTTATTTTTTAATCTAAAATGTAGTTCCATTTTCAAGAAAGAAAACCACAAAATCTGTCACCAGAGATTGAGAAGCTATGCTTTACTTGCTCTGAAAAAAAACCAAAGTCTTCAAATTATAAAAAAGTGGATTTTTTTATTAGAAACAGTGAATGTAAAAAGGAAGTTGATTTCAGGTAAGAACTCTTTAAAGACACTTTAAGATTATATCAATAAAAAACTTTTTACAAAGAAATTCAGCATTCCTTTTTCCTTGGTTCATTTTAAAGATCAGAGCCTGAACATTTTTTTTATTAAAGACATTAAATTTTCAAACCTCAGTGAGCTAAACTCCTTAAGATGTTTCAAACATCATATACCTCAGTTCTTGAAAACCCACGTTTGATGCTGTTTATTCAAACATTATATTGAGTTGATAAACTTACTTCTACTGATTTGAATACAGTGTGTTAATTTTGTAAAGTGTAAAGTCACTTGAGAAATCCAGATGAGATCAGCTAATTTTTCAAAACTTGAAGTTGTATTTTAGTTAACCAGTTATTTCACAATCAATAGGTTCAATGAAAATGTCAGATTAAATCACATCTGTTGCCCCACTGCTAGCTATTTTAGAAAAGGAAACTGTGTTGCAGTTTCTGTCTCCTTGAAGAGTCAAAAGATTTGAGACCTGTTCAGTGTTTTGCTTTTATTTGTTTGTTTTAAGACTAGTCAAGTGAAGCAGTGGGAGTGCAGAAAAAACTGTAATCTGTAAATGATTGTGATCAATAGTTGTAAACACCACTTCTCTTGGACCAGGCTGTTCACACCTTTATTAAATGACATAACTTTTCAATATGTTTAAAGAAATGCCTTTACAGTTCCTACCATTTGCAGTTTATGAAGTCTAATTTTCCCCAACAGACTTCCTACAGAGTTATGCATACTGAAGTTTATTTGATACATTAACTTCACAGCAATCTTCAAGTTTATTTTATTGTATTTAGTATTATTTATTGTGTATTTTAAAATAAATTGTGTTAAAATGTGTTATTTTTACTTTTTCTTCTTTCTCCCAGTATGTATCATCCTGATGATGAAGCTGATGAAATGAAGTCTTTATTGGGAATATTTGATGGTATTTTCTAAAACAAACAAATGCTTTTATATTAATAAGAGAAAGAATAAAGACACCTAATCACAAAGCACGCTTTTCATTTTTAAAAAGTAGTTCATAATTGTTCAGAGTTTTTTCTCCTGAATTTGATTAGCTTTGTTCACTTTTTGCAACAAAATATATGGACCGATTTATTTTCCCATTATATTGTAACTTCTTGAAAAGCTCTTTTACAGTGGCTTTGTTTCAGTAAGCCCTTAAGTTAAGGGCTTATTGCACTTAGAAATAAGTTGCACTTAGAAATAATTATTTGGTTATTAATTGGATTTTGACAAGAACCAATGTAAAATTTTATTTTTATATTTTGTTAAGAAGAAAATATTCTTTGAAAGCAAAATAATGCTAATGCAATGAATCTGCTTATTGTATGGATTAATCACTAATATTATTCCCATGTATTTTGTTTTACTAAGATTTTTAAGAATCCAATGACTATTTGAACCTACTGTTATCTAACTTTGAGCAACAATAAATGAAACATTAATCAGTATAATTGTTGTTTTCATCTAGCTTGTTTTTCAATGTCGTGAATTCTTAAACTTTGTTATGTTGACTTTTACCGTAGTAAAAAGATTTTATATTTTTTTTTCCAAGGAATTACATTTCAAATTCATTTATTGATAAGTATTGTAAAGGTACCCTAAGCAATGTTTATTATCAAAATTTTTAATAGGTACTATTAGAAGTTGAGGCCCACTTAAGAACTTTTAGAAAATATTTTTTTCTTTTTTTAAAAACTTTTATTTTAGATTCAGTGTTACCTGTGCAGGAGTGTTACATAGATAAACTCGTATCATGGGGATTTGTTGTACAGATTATTTCATGACCCAGGTACTAGGCCTAGTACCCAATAGTTATTTTTCCTGATCCTCTTCCTCTTCCCACTGTCCACCCTCAGGTAGGCCCCAGTGTCTGTTGTTCCCTTCGTTGTGTCCATGAGTTCTCATCATTAGCTCCTACTTGTAAGTGAGAACATGCAGTATTTGGTTTTCTGTTCCTTTGTTAGTTTACTAAGGCTTCCAGCTCCATCCATGTTCCTGCAAAAGACATGATCTTGT